AAGAGGATTCCCATTCATACCCCTTCCTGCATGCAGCTGTGTATCCAGACTGTGGGGCGGGTATGTGTGTTCCGCCATCCCCTAAGCGCTACTTCACATCCAGAGTCCATGTAGCAGAAAGCAGGGGTGAACCACACTCACCTTCCAAGCAAAAGAGCATGTTAAGGAGGAGACTGAGTGCAGAATTCACTGCAGATAACGTTACCTATCTGCCTTCAAAATCACAGAGGAAACATTCTTCTTTCCAACGTCTTCCACCTTTTTTTTCAGTGATGCTTGCTGACAGTGCATTTCTGCAAAGAATACAGATACAGTTGAAAGAAACACTACATCAATTGAACTTCATTCTTATTGTTTAAGCATTGGACTCAAACCCAGCTCTAAAATCTGGATTTCCATCACCTCCCCTGCAGAAGCTTGGGATACTGGCACAAATGGATTTGATTTTCAAGACTAATAAAGTACAAGCCCCAGATTTGGAGACAAAACTCTTTCAAATTGTTCAGGCCAACAGAATTCATGCAGAGGATTGGGATCAGAGTTTGGATTTGGGTCCACTGCTGTTAGGAAGTATTTCAGTTCACTTATCTACTTGCTATTAACACAGTGTGCAAGATAATGTTTTACTCAGCATGGGAAGGTGTAACTTTCTGAAGCTGCATGCAGTAAACAGATTGCATTCAATTAAATACCAGTGAACATGCAGCCCTGTAGTCCAGATACTGCTGTACGACAAACAGCTCATGCAACATTAAGTCAAACCACTGCATAACTACAGGCATGCATACAACACACTAGTGAAGACGCATTACACTGTAACAGATTAAACAGTAAGCATACAAACATACTATATGAACTGCAAACACTGCACATGTTGCAAAAGAATTTTACCTGATTTTTAATTTTTTTTTAATAAACAGCCTGAGGGCACAAAGGGCCTGGCCACCAAGCTTAAGAGTGGCCCCTTTCTGTGACGATGATGGTAGGTTTCAGATGAATTTAGGACCACTTGCCAGTTGTGGTTAGCTCTGTAGTCTTGCCTGCTAGTTCTCCTGTTTCTCCACTATGTCGGAAACGAAATGCTTCTGTTTGTCTTGCTGCTTACAAGAAAGTCATCTTGACTTCACATGTGTTACAAGAATTATCACTGGATAATTAATGATGTAACATGTGGATTCAGCTGGCTTTTATTTACCATTATGCATAACTGCTGACACTTGGCTTGCACATCCATTTATTTGCTCAAGAATTCACTTGACATGACATTCATTACGGAAAAGAACAAACACAATACAACTGATTAATGGTATTCTAGTTCTCCTATTTCTCCTGTAGTGAAAGAATCTTGAGACTTCAAATGTGTAAGAATAAAGTTATAAATTGTACATAGCTGTTCATTTTTCCTCAAATCAGATCAAAAGTTAGGACAACAATACCTTTTGTGAGGCACCACCAAGGTTGTCAAGATCCAATGAAGAGTATGACAAGCGAAAGTGCTTGTTCACTGCTTTCACATGAAGATAAATGTGTTGCTGGAAATGTTAACATTTTGATTTATAAAAAGTGAAAAAGCAAAACAAAAACAAGTTACAGGCCAGGTACACCACTGCTAGATGGCACAGGTTGATTTCACACATGACTGTGACAACGAAGGAAAGACCATTGATCAAACTATTTACACTGGGGCTATAATTTGGTTCCTGGAGTTGAAGTCACAGTTCTCCATTTGTCAGACTAGTCCATGCATACACAGTGATGTGTATGCTTTCCTAATGCATTAATTATAACAGCTGTGATTTTCAAAGCCATTCAAAATATCTGGACAACCTTTTCCCATTAACTTCTTATTTTAAACGGGTGTCTAATTCACAAAACTGGAAATCTTAGTTCAGTTTTAAAGTAATTTTTAAAAGTTCACCCAACAATTTAAGTGCCCTTTACAAGCACCAATTCATTTAATCACAGACTTGTCTGTGACTGGGGCTAATGGTTTCTCCAAAATAATGCCCAAAGATCGTAGCAGAGCCAGAGACTATCTCACCCTCCCGTGCCTGAGCCACAGAATTTTTTTTCTTCTAGGAATTGGTGCTGCTCATCTTACTTTGGGGTTTTGTTCCCCCTCAAGGCTAGCAAAGACATAAAGTGACTTATGCAATAACTGTAAGACAGAAAAAAGGCAAACATAGGATTCCTAATAGATGACTTCCTATGTTTGAACTCTGCAATGTGGAGGAAAAGCAAGGCTAAGAAAGCAGGGATGTGTTGCAGTGCTAGAAAGGGAGTAAGCGCTTTGTATGTGTCAAGCACAATGTGTGCTTATTAGGAGGAGATGCATCCAGACTTCCATGCTAAATTGGGTAACTGGTCTCATCTTTTTTAACTGTCTTTTAATTATACTTGGTAAATACTTCATAATATCAGAAGTCATATTGGCCCAAGGCAAATCACTTCCTTCTATATCAGGTTTTGCAAGGTCTTGGAAAAAAATAATGTGACACATGCAGTAGGATCAATTTATGTAAATGTGGGTCAGAAAGGGATCAGAGCTGCCTTGACATCTGCTTCTCCAGTTATTGGAAACAGCACAGAGAAGTTTACACAGCCCTACACACAGAGAAGCTTTTACTGCAGCTATGGATCTAGGTTCCTCAGCTGGAGCAGTCACAGCTAACATTACTAGATCTACAGACCAAAGTCTCAATCACACTCCATCATAAGCCATCAGGCTACACTGACAGTTTTCTTACTGGTGGCAGGCTGCAGAGAAATCAGCAATGGACATACCTAAATATAACTGTATGACATAGTAGACATAAATGTAACTTTCAGGTGCTTTTATTTTATTTGTAATCAAAGGGCTGCACAGACCATTTGGTGCCAAGTGTCTTCTTAAGAGGGAACTGGTGCCTGTAATATCAGAACATTGGCCTTACTAACTCAGCACATACCTTGAGGCCTAAGTTAGGTTTCTTAACGCACATAGGCAACTCAATCAGCATATATGAATTTTAATAGTTCCTTAATAATATTTTCTAAATGAAGTATAGGCCTGTATGTGAAGTGCTACATGACAAAGCATGTGGGTACTTAAGACACAGCATGGGGATTTCTAGAGACAGATGAATTAATGAAATGCAGATTAAGATGCTAGACCCTGATTCAAAAGTCACCTAAAACCTCCTACTTTCAGAAAAGTTTTAGATCAAGAACCATATGATCAGAATGCTAAGTCTTCATTGCTCTATGATAAACAGAAAATTGTAAATCTAAAATAACAAGCAAAACAAAAGATATGGCTTCCTGCTTGAAAAAAATGCCCTGCACTCTAGATGCGGTCGGTGGAAGATGAGTGAAGAAAATGCCCACCATGTAGTCAAATATGCTGTAACTTCAACAGAAAAAAATACGATTCCAAGTCTGTTTCACAGTAAAAGCCAAGAATCACTTTTGTATTAAAAGAAGTATGAGACACAGACACTTTTTTTGTGTCGATCATATTGCTTTAGATCAGCAAATACACTTAAATATTCATGGCAGAGTTGGGCCTTTAAGCTAGGTAATAAGAGAAATGCAACACTACTCCAATGAAAACATATAGCGAAAGAGACTGTGCAGCCAAATTCAGTTCACCTTCAGGTATAGAATACAAAAACAATAATTATCCAACTGTTTCATAAACCAGTATTATTTAACTTCCAAGTGGTAAACACAAATGTGCCACCTGCATTGGAAGTCTGCTACAAGTCTGCTGAGACATGAAACAATTTTAAAAGGTCACTGCTGAAAATACCACAGAAATGTACATGATGAGTTTAAAAAAGTACAGTAGTAAAATTCTCAAATGCTTCTATAGTCTACGTTGCCTGAAAAACAGAATTCTGTCATTTACCTGTCCTTGTGCTTTTACACCCCTCATCAACACAATATCCTCACAAATTAATGATTAACATTTGTGAGGACTTGCATGGACAGGGTCCAATTCATAGATGCTGTACACAAATGTAACTCAGAGTCAATGCATATAGACCATACAATTGTCATCCAATTCTAAAAATAAGTATTTTTTCTCATTTAATAAAATAAATACTTAGCTGTCTATGGTATGACAAATGGTTTATCATAGACTATCAGCAACTATAAGACACCTCAAAGAAGTGAAATTCAAGCACTGTATCCAGAGATATCACTTTATATATGTTGGTTTGGAAACGATTACTCCATTATTTTGATGCCAGAATTTGAAAATGCGGTCTCCAGTTGCTAGAAGACACCAGTGCTACAGTCCTCTGAAATCAATGAGCTCATCTTTTAAGTGAAAATGCCTGCAAAACACTATTTCCTATAGTTCTCAGGCAATAGTCTCCTAGAAAAAAAAATGGTTCATAGACACTTCTTAAGACAGTGCTGTACTTATGTACTGCTCTTACAAAAATACTGTGACAGGTTTAAAAGAATTGTAGTAAAAACTTAACACAAGCTTATTGGTTCTACATACAATCTGGAAAAGACAACATTCTTTCATTTGTCTCTAGTATCATTGTGGCAATACATTTTTATTTATATCCTTTGTACAGCCAGTTTTTAACCTGACATCTTTTCATAAGAAATTAGTAGAAAAACCTATAAACATACAGCTCCAAAACAGCTGCCTAGACTAATTTTGACAAAAGATTGTAGATTTTAAGCATATTCTAATTCTCACTGGCTTAAATGTCACAAAATTGCTACCCAGATAAGTGCTTTATTTGGCATAACAAACAGGCAAAGATTTTCTAAAGCAGATCCTGACACATCAAAAGACCACAAAGAAAATAACCTTTAAGCCCTGTTGCAGCAGTATTAATACCAGGTGAGAGATTTACATGTAAAAGCAAAATTAAAAAGTGGACTTACAGTATCCCAAAACTATTTACTACATGTTTTGCCATCTTTCTGGCCTTTCTATTTTGGGGACACAATTCAGAAGTTATTTTAAAAACCATACTTGTAGAAAGTCTTACCTTGCAATCTGTGTTCTAGTACTGAAGTCAAGAGATCTCATTGAGCGTAAGACTTCTATACACCCCAAGTACTGTAAGGAAAAAGAAAGAGTTGGAAAAGGTATTACAATTATTCTTGAGCTCTGGAAGAAAATGCAGCTACTCATTAAAAAGCATTGTGCAATTCTTATTTTTACATTTGATGCTTCCTATGTGTCAGGTAGGTTTTTATGATTATGTTCTTGTATGTCACAGATTTGTTCCATCAACATTTTATTTGGTTCAACGTATCTTTTTACATTTAGTCTAATCACTGTAATACATCTAGTTCATAATGGGTTGATGTGCTTTTTAATTTTCTTCTATCTTAATTGTTCCATTTTAGATATAAAGCTAATCAAAGTAGGAAATAATATTAATGAAAAAGGAAGTGTGGCAAATTCATCTAGCACTGGGTAGCAGAAAATTCTTATTTAAGACAGAGAAAACTCATTCGAACAAAAAAAGGTAAATTGTAGCAGGGAAAGCTGAAAAGAGCACGAGCAATCCAGAGAGAATTCCTTAATAAACAGATCAGGGACAGTTAATATTTAGTATTTTCATTAATGACACTAGTATAAAGATATAGGAAAATGCTAACAAAATATACTAATAACCCATGCTGGGAGATGGCTTCAACTGGGTCATTCAGGAAAGGAATAACACGAAGGTCAGCTAATATTAGGAAAAGACCAGACTTACTGACCCAGATTTCTGCCCTGCATCTCTATGAAAAGGAGGGATTACCATCAGAAAATACGTTAAAATATAACAGCATCTAACACAGGAGTGAGAAAATTCAGGTGAATCTTGTAGATTTGCTTCCAAAAGTGGTAATAATTTGCCCATGCTAAAGCCTACATGCAGCTACAGCTTTTGTCAGATATTTAGATGGTGGTTTTGTACAAACCAACTCATGACTGGCATATCCCATGGCAGTATCTTTGCATGTAAATATTCAACCACACAACTGACTTTTGAAAGTCAGGAGAAACAGGGATAAGTCTTTACATAACAAGCTTGGTAATGCTATTCCAGTATTGTGGTTTTATATCAGTTTTTATATCTATTTGCAGTAGAATGCGATCTCTTTGGGTACAAAACCGGTGCAAAAAATCAAGTGAGACCACCATTTTGTGTCTGTTTGGGAATTTTATTTATACTGAATAATGATCTTTTAATTAGAGAATTACTACATCAGTAACTATACTACCTAGAATTTCAGCAATACTTTTTCTATAGAAACATGTATGTCACAAATTGTTTACAGGCTGAGGTCGTATCTAGTCTGTTTTCACATGTCCATTATTACTTAATTTATTGCTATAAAATATTATTAAGTCATTACAACACTGAATAAAATAAACTAGAATATCAAGTGACTGACTCCTATTCATTAAATTGCTCAAAGTTGGATTACAATAGCCCACAGTTTCTGGGAAGTGTTGTTTCAAGGTCCATTTCCTAGAATTTTTCAGAAATCTCTTGCAATCTTATTTTATGTGTTTTGAAAAGCTTGTAAAATCCTCAAGGAAAATATCTTGTTTATAGAGATCCTGGTACATGGAGCTTTCAAGCTAAGGGTCAAACTCCCAAGCTGTTTAAATTATCATCACTCCTCTATCAGTGCAAAATCAGGTAACCCTTGCATCTTATTATGAGTAAAATCCTTTTTTATGTATACTTCTGCCTGAGTACTTAAAGCATCCAGAACATTTTCATGCTCTGATGCAGGAAGTTAAGCCATTATCTCTATTTTTAAGTATCTCAGAGGGTGATTTGATTTGCTTGGAGATGAAGTTCGTTAAACATCAACTGAGATAATCAGCTGAAGTCAGTTAACTTAGACCAAAATACAGCAATGAAAGATGTTTTCCTATACTCTTTTTGTGTCATTTTAGTTCTAGGATACTTTTAGATAAATTTTCCCAAATATTTATTTCATATGAGATACTTTTACAATTAAATATGCTGGAAATGGTATAACTATTCAAAGGTATCCTGTGATTTTTTTGTTACTGAAGTACTCAGTTTTCATTATTTCATCAACCTGTTCATTTAGACCACTCGATACTAAAACACTCTCGGATTGCACTTGTTCCTTACTTATCCATATTTGCCACAAGTCTTTTAAAGTGAAGTAATTGTACAAGTTTGAGAACCAGGTCCAACATTTTAGAAGCAAACTCTGGAATGTAGTTTGACAAGTACATGCAGGCGTGCAAATAAATACACAAACACATGTGCACACAAGTCACTGTCAAAATAAACACACAAAGAATTAGACAAATACCCATAAACATACTTAGAAGGCGTGCATTCAGACTCCTTTGAGTCATACCACCTGATCTGCATTAACAAAAGTAGAGACAAAACCAGACTGAAGGAAGGTCAGATGGAAAAATTACCCTGTACTCGTTTTATGTATAGCACAGAGACAGCTGAACACAACATAGTAAGGCTTGCAGTATTCCTGACTGATCAAGGCAAAGATGGCAACTGATTTTCTGGGATAAAAGATGTGAACATTTAATCACCACGGCATGTTTTCAAGTAATGAAATTACTATAAAAACTGACATTCAAAAGGTCCAAAGGCCAACTACAGGGACATATAACTCACCTACTGCTATGCTTCAATTATTCCCCAAGACCAACATTGCTCTCTAAAAATATCCATTTGAAGTACATCCTGACAAGGATCCACAGAAAGGAGACATACAACCAAGATAGCAAGTAAATAAATTATTCATTTATTTCAACAAATAAATATCTTGATTAAAAAGAAATGCTATCTTTTGCTTTAGGCATTCCATGAAACATTTAAAATACAGTTATAAAACAGTCTACTTCTAAAAAAGCTCCTCTTCACCCAGCACTTGATGTATATTCTAACCAATCAGCTTCTGTACACCGTGATATTTATGAGCTCCCACTAGCATACTCTCTTTCATTGCTCAGGAAACAAATATACCAAGATGCACCCCACCTTGAAACAGGAAGATCTGGGACTACCAGTTACAAGCTCTCTCAGATAATGTTCTGCCTTCTGTCTATTTTCTGATATTTGAATGAGTTTCCAGCTTGTATACCTTCATTGAATAGTACCATGCCCTAAGGAAAAAATCTTTCATATGAATGAACACCTTCCCATTCAGAGGTTTTAGATATATAACTAGTACTTTGCATGCTAAACAGCACCTTGCAGGAAGCTGATGTAAATCTAAAAGCAGAGTGCCACATACTCCTGGGACCATATCTGCCTCATTGAATGAAGTTCCAGCATCCTTACTAGTCACCATTTTGCCAGGCAAATGTAAAGGGTGGTCAAATAGCACGGGTTTCTGGTTTGTCTCATAGGTGAAGATTTTTTCTATATTCCCTAAAGTATGTCTGTCTTCTTTATGACTCAGTCAGAAAATTATTATTTAACAACTAAATTTTTTACTGTACCCTGTGTAAGAAAGGGTATTGAGTTCAGAAACAACAGTTCAACACAAGCACTGAGTGCATTCATGTGTTTGGATCAAGAGAAAAGGCAAACAAGGGTAGTCACTGTCAGAGACGCCTCTTGCTCCACGAACATGAACAACCTTGTTCAGTGTTTCCTAACAAGCACTTCAAAACACCAAGTTTTGGGAAGAAATCTTCCATTGTTTGACTCAGAAGACACTTGTAACAACAGCGACAAGTATTTTTACAAAAGTGTAGCAAGATGTAGCCCTATACAGCATTGCAGCATTCCAACCTAGGAATGACAAATGCTTGATGAATGCTTGAATGGCATACCCATGTCTAATACCATGACAAGTGTTTGCCATGAATGTGGGTAGCATAATGACCTGCCCATCATCTACTCTCAAACAAAATAAGGACTCCTAATCTCTGAGTCTGAACTACTGGAGTACCATTAGCTCACTAAAACAGCATGGGTATTCTTAGTAAATTGAGATAAACTGGTTTTAATCTGCGTAACCAGGCGACCATCATCAAATCCAAGAGGTTCACAACATTGCATGTTGTACCTGCAACACACAGGGCCTCGTGCAAGTTATGTAAGAGATAACACAGTTACATCAGCAAACAGACATGCACTTGCATTGTTAGCCAAATTTGAAGCCAGTGCCTTCAAATATTGATATATATGAAATCTGCACTAACATTGCATAGCTGCTGATAATAGCCTGGGGGTTCAAAAATATATTCACGGGGATCTGGGTTGTGTATGTAGATCTGATTTTTGAAACTAGAAATCTCTGAAATGTATTATAAGATACCCTGTAATAAGCTGGTCAATTCACTGCAAGTTTCTCACACACAGGCTTAGGCTGTGCTTTTCCTTGGCACGTGCAAAAGTGAGCATCTTTTTACTTGCCACATCTGTATACCTCAAGTCATATGCCTATGTTTTCATTCTTCTTCTTTTTTTT